GCGTGTCCTCACTACCCGGTGTGTGATGCAACTCTCCCTGTCTGCTAGGGACAGTGGCTTATAAGATATGGTCTGCACTTTTTCTTATGGCCTGATTGGCCGCATTGGCTGCCCGCGCACGGCTGTGCGTGCCTTTGTTTTGGGGCGAACCAATAGCACGACCTGAGAGTTCATCTGGGTCGCTCGTTAGGAATAGGCCTAACACTGCATTGGGATAACTGCAACCAGGTACGTGCACGTGCGGAATAAAGCCATTGCCTGGGGCAAGGCCGAGCGAACGCTTTTGAGCATAGGTATCTTTGTGGCGGTCGGCGGCAAGCTCGACGCCTTAGGAGAGCCGACAAAGTTGCTAGCCTTTAGTCAGGCCACCGTCCTAACACAAACAAGTCGTTTAGTCTGAAAATCTCCCTTTTTATAAGGAATATTAGGTCAATTAGTATTTTACTTAGACACATGAGGAGCAAGACACTTAATCGCAGACTCCATCAGTAGACAGATCTACCAGCTACTTATAACGCTTTGCGCGAACAATTCAACGGTACTGCCGAAGGTCATTCCCGACAGAAATTAGTGGGTTGCACAATAATATATTCCTTCACGATGGTCTCGTAAGAGGGTTCCAAACATCGAATAAATAATTAACTGGACCAGTCTTCCATTTAATCACCTGGGCCTCGCACATTTTCGATCATTCTGAATATATATGTTGATAAGGTGATCATCACGAACGATGAAATCCACCGTGTATATTTCATATCAAGATGGACGCTTAGACGGTTACGACTGCATGAATTAGTTTATAGACGTGCACCACATCAACTGCATTCTATCCACATCATGCATCTGGATTCGGTGTCAAGACCTAGTGCAGGCGACCTGGCCCATAAAAAAGGACTGGGATATACCAAGAACAAGAGAGGTCTGGTCCGGATCCCATCTGAATATGCGTGTCATAGTAGACTCATAAGAAAGAAGCCATGGCAGCATGGTTCTCTGTCCTGAGAAGACCAGGTAAGCCCTTGGTTTGGCACGCCTTTGAGTACATCGTGACAGTGCCAAAAGGCATTAGGCCGTTTATAATGACGAAAACGCGGCGGACGCTGTGAAGAATCACTCCACAAATTTAGTCTTTCTCTTCCATTTACCAAGCATTACTCCACTGTCCGAACCTGTCAGTCGTCCGATATTGTTATTTAGCTGAAGCAGTTGGAGTGGCGCGGACCCTCACCTAAGCCTGACTCCCCAACGCTGCTACGCGGGCCGAACGCGGTGGAGAATTTCATCTCTACCACTACTCTGTTGAAACCCGAATGTTCTGGTTGACTGTGGCATTATAGATAGTTGGTTACGAAGCTTCAGGGGTACCTGTGTTATGTATTTCGGCCTATAATATAAACTAGAGGTTTAGCGGCTGATGACGGGGCTCGATAGCAAACCCAGCTTAACTCTCTATCAAATTAGACAAACATCGAACTAGCCCGCGGGGAACACGTCTGCGGTTTTTCACACGCTAACCTTATACGTTGTTGGGAAGAAAAAACAGGGCGTTTCGTTGTTTAAAATATTAATATGGCGACAGGTCGTCTGTTCTTATATTGTTTATATCGACTGGCAGTACTATACGGGCAAAAATGAAATACACTTATTTATTTCCCTGCTTGCTCCCTTGATACTCTACTTGAAGAACGCGGACATTTAATAAGAAAAAAGACACCGCCCTTTGAGTTTTGAGATCTTTAGATCAGGAAATCTACAATAAGGGTTATAAATAGCCATTTTTTACACACTTACATGAGTTACGTAGACCATTATATGGCACGCCCCAAAAAGTCTTGTGTTTTCTTTATGAAACTGAATGAACTATAACAAGGGACCCTGGATGTCAACTGCCACTCAGATTTTATAGTAAAAGATATTAGAAAAGCAAAAATAAATAAAAAGCGAAAACATTTGACCAAAACTTCGGATATATTTTCTTACACTTCACCCAAATGGTTCGCTTCCCTTGGGTGGGTTTGCCTAGCATATGTAAAATACTACCAATAGCTATTCCCTACGCAGTTATCATGCATGCGTTCCCCAATTCACCTAAATTGATAAATCCTTTTGCTATAAAATTCTGACTTCAAGAAATTCCGTGCCAAAGCCCCAGAACTATTATATCCGGAAGGGGCTTACTTCGACCAACAGGTTAAAGAAAGTACCTGTGGAAACATGCTTGCATAATTAGGCACAGCATCTACCTGATGATCCATCTACAGGAACCGCTAAATAGCGCGCTGTGTCTTAGGGCTTAATAGAAAACCTTGCGTAGCGGCTACTAGTACATACAGATAAAAGGGTACTAACAAAGCATTAAGAGCTCGAATGGTCATTTGTGACATTTAAGCCGTCATCAGCCAACCATCTTCCACCGCAGGTTTGCTACACCTGAAGCTCGAACAATATTCTATTGGTAAGAAAGCCAACGTCATAAATATGGAGCTACAGGCTCGTGTCTCCCTACCGGAGTATACTGATTGATACTGAACTCGAAAAACTCACAATCTGCCAGCAAAGAAGAAACAGGAAAAATACCTATTGCTACGTTTTCTCGTGAAGGTAAGTGTATGAAAGCGCTCTAACCGAAAACATTTAAACAAATTTTGTCAACCATACAAAATGGCCATTCTTGGCTTTCGTTAATAAAGGTGCTTTTAAAAAGTAATCATTAGTTTGAATGTTTGGACGAAATTTTAGCATTGAATCGGATCCCCACGTTTATTCATTCAATACAACACGGCAGCTTAGGGGTTAGCCTTTTTACAAACCAAAACCCAAGCAACTGGTTGAAGTATTACTGTTAAGACTACAGTATGGCTCAAAATGTGTTCGAGGCTTTACAGATTATACAAAGGTGCAGTTGTTTACAGCGCTTTCCCAAAAATTGACAGTTACCGAAAGCCGTTCTGGGTTATTGCAGCACAAACGTGAGTATAAATTCTTTAATAACGTCTGTGATCCAGCTGAGTGTATAACTTTTTTCCTCCTACCAGCATGATATTCCGTAGGAATTATCTGATAACTATAAGTATGGGGGAGAGGGATAAATGTGTTCAGAAATCAAGAGGTGATGGGGTTATCCTTCCAGGGACTGAGGAAGGAGGAGTTGGAGGGGGAGCAAATGCCTGACAGCTTATTTTTCTGTTTCGTCATTGTAACTTAACGCGGCAGGAAGCGTAAGTACACACCCCGAATTCGTCTTCGGCAAGGGGAGTCTTAAGGCCTGCTTATAAAAGCCACATCACATTACAGAAACGCCGCAGAGCTAGAAAAAAAATTCCAGACGCCTCCTTTTCCATCCCCGTCAACCTCCCATAGCCCCTGATAGACATAGATTACAGTCCTCTAATTTCTTAGCACCCTCTAAACTCTTATTTATAAGTACGGTTTAGCAGATATTTAATCGTTTGTTATATTACACTTCCTTATATTACTGTAACTGCTCAATATTGACTAAACGAAAACGTACGTTCACCAAACTGGTTTTATTCTGTGATACCTATTGTACCGTGTGTTAGAAAGAATTTTCGAAATATGCATTCTGTGTTTCACAGGATTCGGTTCGTAATGTCCTAAGAACTCGGTTGGTAAAGTTTTTGATATAATATGTTAAGAGGCATCCTTTATAGACAAGAATAGCTAGATTCTCACGTAATCTGATATTCCTCAGAGTTTGAGCGATAAAAATGTCTGATTCATATTCCTGATCATGCTACACATTGAGTCATTCCTGATGATTCTAGTCAAAGTGTTCTGTAAACGATTGCAAATCAAAATTAGGTTTTTTCAACCTGCTGAAACTAGTCGCAGATTATCTAGCACTCAAACTGTATAAATCGAAAGTGCATTGAAAGCAAATCATAATTTTAATATACAGGATTCTGAACGAATGTAACGCGACCATTGTACAAAATATAATTAAGATAACGACTGTCTTTAATGACTGATCAGACAGATGTGTCCTCATTAAATACACATCTAATGATCTATTCACTTTCCCCTCTGATTCTCTCTCCGTTGGGCAGCACATAGCGGAATAAATGAATGAAAATATGTCAGAAGATGAAAGAGTCAGGTGACGGGAGTTGGGGAGACTGGTCCAAAACTGGAGGAGAATCTGGCATCAGTGGCCTCACTGGGTTCAGCCGCCGTGTCTACCTTCATCTTAGCCAGAAGGCGTTTAACAAATCGGAGGTAGGCTGAACAGCTGAAAATGAGCAAGAGGGGACCACTGACAGTGTTGGACATGGCTAAACAGAGAGAGTAATCCTGCAGCACTTCAGCAATATTGCCTCGAACGTCAAGAATTTTGGTTAGCAGATTGCAGAGATGGTTCGGGAACCACGAGAGGACAAACAGTGTAGCCATGAGCACACAAAGACGAATTAACCGTTGCCTGCGTCGTCGCCACTTGGCGCTCATTGTATGGCCCATCAGACTGAGCAGTTGATGTGACCGTCTCAGTTGTTGGGTGACAATGTGTTGACTTAGGCAGATGACGAACAGAGGAATGAGATAGATGGAGATTATGAGAACCAGGTCGTAGGCCATTTTAGCTTTGCTTGACCAGGACTCACTGTAAGGTAACAAAGAGGAATAGATACAATTTGACAACTTGGAGGAAACACATAAACAAAAAGAATTTTCTATCAAACGAATAAGGCCCATGTAGCAAGTGTGAACTAATAACATTAGGCAGCCCAGAAATGGTAAATGCGTTAAAACGGGATGGTACCTCTGGAATGAGTATATGTTGATGTTTTGCTTAACTTCGGCTTTCCCATTTAAGTATTTTAGATAAAATGCTAGGTTGTCTTTAAGTTAGTAATATATTGCATTTCAGGACTACGGGCAGACTGCATTTACAAGTGAGTGCAGAAAAATTTCCAAAGTTTATTCAGCGTTTACATAGGAACCTCCGATTTTTGGGTGCTCTTATACCTTTTATGCACGATTATAGCCAAATGTTCGGAATCTAGAGCGCAACAAGTGATGGCTGTAACAAGCTGTGCTCCTATTTTTCCTAATCTTTTTCTGTTTGCCCAAGCTTGAGTTGCAGAAATCTTCACAAGAGACGACAACTGCGTGAGTCGCAAGCTGTTCGAATCATGGTTCCCAGCCCACAGCGCAACGACTTGTCGTTCCCATACTGATTACTGAGGCATTTTCTGAGCAGGAATATTAGTCACGTGGGAAAGGCTGGGCCCAGCAACAACTCCAACGACAGCGAACGTAATTGTCGCGCAGTTATCAAGCCCGCGTCCGGGACGTACAACAAAATCACGACAATTTATGACTCAAAAGCGAACTGCCAAGCCATCACCGCACCAGTTACGACCCCAAACGCTGGTCACAGGAGCTGATAATTATAGTACGCATGCGGACGCCCGCTACGAATTATAAATACCGCGCAATTTGCGTATGTATCACGCAATTCTACGGTAACCTGTGATCAAGGATTCTCAATGGATTCAAACACGTCAGGAAAAGAACATTCTTGTTCCAGTGATCGCATTCTTTTCTTCTGACCTGAGTAATAATTCTAGTTCATATGTTTCTTTCATACGTCTTTAAATAATACTCATATAGGGACTGCCTGAACTAGCTACCGGTCCTTTTTAAATAACTATTTACTTCAAGCCCGAAATGTTCTAGCCGCTGGATTGTCCATACTTGCATTGATGCGAATTTTAATGCGTTTATAGAAGGAAATATTATTACTTATCCTACTTCAAATCATCAGCGTTCAAAAAAACCGCATGACTGTTTAAGACCCTCTCGTCATAGGGCTGACATAGTAGTGGCCGATGATGTACTAAATGAGCCAAAGGCTGAAATATCGAAGCGTAATAAAATTTCCAGAAACCTGTTTTGCAGGGAGGATAGGTTGGTAATTGGTAGTGGTGCAACACTTAAATAATGTATTACTTCCAACCAATTCTCTACTGAAATTGAAGATGTACTTATCGGAATACCTTCTATCAAAATATCAAAATATTTTTGCAAGATTTTGTTTATGATTTACCCCGAAAAATACGCATAAATAAAAGTTGGCTTAGTATATAGGGACTTTTGTGAACTGAATGGAGTTGAGATCACGATTTTGGTTCATTTTATAGGGTAACATTCAATACGTCTTGTTTAGTAGTCGCAGCAGTCTACCATAACAACAAGCATGGTTTACCTTAAAGATGAAATGACAGTATAAAGGAACTTTTTGCCACATTCTTAAGCATCGTTTGAATGTTGAGAGAAACAAAAACATGCAACTGTTTCTGATAAGCCATTCTTAAATGCTATAGTTCGCTTAGGCAATGCATTTTATTCAATATTCTAAATCCTCATCGAACAAAATTAATAAATGTATTTGGATGTTCTGGAGGTTTCAACTATACACTTACTAATGACTTAAGTTGCGGCCAACGAGCTAGAAAAGAATATATGGCCTTGGTGTTTTAAGAAGTAAACCTTACAAGTTAGAAATTTTTATTTGCTAAAACTACCATGAATGTGAATTAAACAAGTATAAGTTGAAAAGAGACAGCAGCTGCATTTTAATTCGGTCTCTTTACTGGAAGACATACAGATAATAGCATTTAGAAATTAGAGCGTTTAAGAGAAGATTAACTTCAATTAGCATATTTAAGTTTCTGTTGAAATGTTGGCATCCCAAGTAATATTGTTTGAGGTTGAATAGGCTCTTCGGGAAAGAGAATTTTTATTTTGTGAATTTTCGAAGCTGGAGACCCCGCTTCGTCTTCAGACATAGGGAACAGTGAATGCAAAAACAACTAACAGTTAACATTTTAAATCGTAGGAAAATAAAAAATGCAGTGGAGTAGGCTGGTGCAGTGTGTCTCCTTCTATTGTTTTTGCATTCACTTTTCCCTATGTCTGAAGACGAAGCGGGGTCTCCAGCTTCGAGGATTCACAAAATAAAAATTCTCTTTCCCGAAGAGCCTATTCAACCTCAAAAAATACTTAAGTTTATTCACCCGTTTGCGTACCCAAAGCTAAACTTCGCTCTCATACCACATGACTGAGAAATGTAATATAATACCTAAAAGTGCATCGTAAGAAGCTAATGTGCAATATTCTGTATATCCTGTAGGTAACTAGAAGGCATGCATAATTACTTGACTTGCTATAATATATATTGGTCCATAGGCTACCCCCGGAAGGTAAAAACATACCGCTAGAATGGAAAGAACAATAGATTTTGCTATGCGTAGTTTAAATCTTATGCTAATGCTTTATCTGGCGGTTTTCACAGTGAAACTTAAACACGCCAAGGATAAAATGTTTTAGGCCAATCTCAAAACTCAGCCCTAGAATGCTGAGGGAAAAATGCACGAAAATATTTCAAACCTGAGGAAAGGACGGGGTGTTACAGCTTTTGGGGACAATAAACGTATTCGTCCATCTAGTAGCCATCTTACTGGCCCCTAAATCCTCCTCAAAGTTCACAGAGTTGACCACCAATTTTAATAGGCTAAACGATGGAGGATGAATTTGCCTAACAGTTAAACTGTATTGCGTACGACAAACACAAATATGACAGTAGCACCTGTCCATTTATATCTGTTTTTGCATGAAGGTAGATTAAACATTTTCTTACATCTCCATGAAAATTATCACCACTTCTTCAAACTGCGTTTTCTAACATACAAATGTTCTACGCCGATGCAGTATGGAAATAAAAACATTTTCCAATTTTTCACTGTTATAACCTAACCAAACGCACTGATATAACGAAAGTGACAATTTTTCTTTTAAGCTTAAGTATTTTATTTTTATTCTCCATATTCGGTTGCATAGCCTATTTTCTATCTCTTAAATTCGAAGTTAAAAGTTGCCCGTAAAAGCTACAGCTTCCTGTCGGTTTTCACTACAAAGTCAATCGTGCAAACAACAAACTGTTCACTAGATTTAATAGTGCAATACAAATATATTTCTTTTCACTTAGTTACCCAGCAACTGGTGCCTTTTCAAATGTACTCATAGCACAGAGAAGCAAATAAGCAATAAGTGCTGCTGGCGGAAAAAACGAAAACGTAAATACCCATTTCTGGTTTATTTTCCGCCCTTTATCTGCCATACCCAATCCGACATGAGTCTTTGGAAGCTATTTCCCCAAAGATGATCACTTATAAAAACGGCTATTGACTCAATCTCACATGACCACCTGCGTTTTTAGGATGATTAGCTACGACGCTAAAACAAACTCAGAAATAAGCTATTATATAAACTGTGTACTTACCAATAAAACTTGCGAGCGCACATGACTTTTAAGTATTAACGTATACAGTAGGAATATTTGTTTGTTAATATTTTTCTATATATTCAGTGAAAGTACTTGCTATGCAAAACTATAACTAAGAGGACTATCCTTTTTAGATTCGTATACTTTTCTTTTAGAATCTAATTAGGGAAAACTAGCCATTCAGATGGACTTCATAGTCTAGCAATTTCAGTTCATCTTAACATTTTTTTGTTTCTTTTGGGAAAAATAAATGATGATTGAATTACTGTGCTAGCCCTACTGCGCCATACACTTTACTACTTAAAACATGTTTTATCATATAACATATTACATGAATATAAATTAGTACTATTATTGTTAGTAACCCTATAGCATATTTTAAACGATAATACCTTCGGCACTAAAACACGCAAGCTATTACTTATAAACTCAACTACTTCAGTTGTTTGTATCTTTTTGCCCAAAAATTATAGTGCACGACCAAGTGTCTCGCGGAGGACGTCGACACCGCTATCTAACATAGTAGTGTTTGCAAAATGAGGTGTGGAAGTTTCAATGAAACGCAGCATATACTTAAGAGAAAACTGTTACTACAACTCACAAAGGACTTCATTTAAATAAATGAGTAGGACGTCTTACGTAATGTCCAGGCTTGAGAAATTATTGAAATACAAAGTGCTATTAAATCCAAACTACCTGCAAACTTTGGGTGCAAACATAGCCATTCGGGGATCGACAACAAGGTGTACCACTTTGGAGACAATAGCGCTGGGCAAAGCAATCAGTATGGCCAGCGTGACGGCCAGGAATAAGAGGACTGAAACCCGGCAGTTTACATCGTAGTCAGTTTCACCTGCTCGCCGTCCCGACCGGGCAATTGCGATGCTCCGGTTCAGACAGATGGAAACCAGTAGAAAGTTTGTGAGGGCCACAATGAAGTAGATGAGGAAGGAAGCCAACTGACACATAACAGATCCGAGCTGCCAGTTCTTGTAGACAACTGTGTAGGCAGTGTAGGGGACGCCGAACCAGACCAAAGCAAGGTCACAGAGTACATGCATCATCAGCATTCGGCGATTGGATGTCGACTTAGGATTCCGAACACGCGTAATGGTGAGCAATAGAAGGACATTAAGGAGGGTTCCACATAGGAATATTAAACAGTAGAGAGCCAAGATGACTCGTTTGTTGGGGATGTAACCAAGAGTGTTAAAATAAGACTTAAACTCCTCCAAGATGGCTTCATGTTCAAGCAGAGTGCTTGTGATATTGTCAATTCCATGTTTAGTTGCGTTGGACGAATTTTTCATTCTGTCTTCCTTGCAATTACCAAACCAAACGTATTACAGGACAAATATACGTCCGCATAGACGTCTCTTTGCATTATGTGCTAGGCATTGATCTTGACAGGATAAAGTAGATGTCTAACGCCAAGAGAGAAGCATTTTCATTGGCTAATAATGTTGTTTATTGGATTGGCTAAAATGTATTCCTTCCTTAAAAACTTCTTCAGGGCACATTTTGTAGGAGATAGCAATGAATAAAACACTATTTTTCACTGCATGAAGTGGTTTTTCTCAAATTTTTAAAGGGGGTATAGTGTAACAATGCCTGAGATGCCATTGCAAGGTTTTCCCTGTTTTATTACATTAGAACTTGGTGTTCTGAACCCCTCCATCCATCGACCAAAGCCGACGCAAAAAACCTGCGAAAATTAGGCCATAAGACAGGAGCCGGTTTGCTTCGCGTTCTAATTCGTGCATTTATTCTTTGAAAAGGCAATAATTTTCTCTTTGACGTAAATGCTAGACAAAACATTGAATTATACAATATAATGTTTTAAAAAGGCATTGGCGCCCACTTATCTGATCACAGTTCCGTTAGGAAATGAGCGACATTCTATCATTTCCATTGAAAATGCGTAAAGGAAGCATAACCCATGTCGAGTGGACACAAACATGGTTGTATTTGGTGTGATCTTTCACCGACTTACTAGATTGAAGTGACAGAAACAAGCGATTTCCTCATACGAAAGCAATACAATCATTCTTTCCTACTCCGCAGTGGCCAACTGTTTGCGCGTTTACAAAATAATAGAATAGAGAGTCAAGATTACATCGTGTGACAAAATGGCACGAACAAGTCCTGCAACCTGAGCGGTTAATGATTTATACTATACTGTATATGTAAGATGAGTCGTGCTTTATTTAGTAAATTATCTGCTGTCAGCCGTACCTGTGTTTAGGTGGAGATGACGATTGATGGGCTCTGGGTCAGGGTCAAGTGGACGTCCTTAATAGGAGCCCCAAGACACCCCTACACATGTAAGATCCGATACGCTCAGTCCTTTGTATGAACACCTGCTCTCCACGGCGGGCAATATCGTGTGTGGTATGCGGAAAGAAGCACTCCAACTCTGTCAAAAAGTGCTTAATCTCTGCAGCAAATTCCGACCGGCTCGGAAAGTTGACTCCCGTCTGTAGGACATAGTAAGCTCGACTCT